ATTCTTTCATACAATTTCCATATACGAAAAACCATTAATCATAGACGTTACTTTTTTTGTATCTAAATCTGAAAGAAAACCTATACATAAGTTTTACCAAAAGCAAGTTATCTGCGTGTTAACTGCCACTGAGACTCTTGGTCAATTACCACTTCCTATTTATGTAAGAGTTGTTGGGTTAGTCTATTTTGGACAAATTTTTTAAAATTTTAAAACGAAAATTTTTGGATTTTATTTATGGAAAAGATGTTTATCATAAGTTCATTGTATAGAAAAAAGTATGCTATTTTCAGAAAATTTTCGTGATAATAATTTTGATCAATGTCCGGGAATTTAAAAACTCAAATTTCAAAATCATCATTTTTGAAAATTTTTGCCAAATTTTGAAAGTGTGATGCTTTCAGTATATGTTTTGTGTGAGAAAGCTTTTTTACCTTTCACGTCGCTTCCAAAGCATTGTAAATGCAAGACGATCAAACCTTTGCTGATTCTAGTTTTGAGTAAACCATAGTTTTTGTCACCTGTGTTCGATTACGAACACATTCCAAAAATTCTGGGAAATTAAATTTTAAAAAACCATTATTAAAACGTAAAATTCTTTCATACAATTTCCATATACGAAAAACCATTAATCATAGACGTTACATTTTTTGTATCTAAATCTGAAAGAAAACCTATACATAAGTTTTACCAAAAGCAAGTTATCTGCGTGTTAACTGCCACTGAGACTCTTGGTCAATTACCACTTCCTATTTATGTAAGAGTTGTTGGGTTAGTCTATTTTGGACAAATTTTTTAAAATTTTAAAACGAAAATTTTTGGATTTTATTTATGGAAAAGATGTTTATCATAAGTTCATTGTATAGAAAAAATTATGCTATTTTCAGAAAATTTTCGTGATAATAATTTTGGCAAACGCGAGTTATTTAATTCCAGAGTGTCGAAAAAAACTCATTTTAAAGATTCACTGCATGTACAAAATGATTATTTTGCTTTTTTCGTACACTTTTTTCAGTCTATGAAGTTGTTTGAAACTGCATGATAGAGAATTTTTTCACATTATGAACCTTAATTTTTTCATATTAAAAAACTTTCCTGTCAACCGGGTAAAAAACTTTGTACCTCATAGCTTTTGTTTTTTGCTGGTGCGATCAAGTTTTATTGTAAATAAAATAATGAAGAGCTTAATCATAATTAGAACATACTAGCATTAAAACTTGATCAACTCAAATTTAAGCTAGTTTGTCAGGTTGTGTATTGCAGCCACTTAGGCTATTCAGATGTCGGTTTGCGAAAAATCTCGATAATATCTTTTTAACCTAATATGTGAATCAAAAGAAGTAGTAAAATTATCCTGAAAGTGTTCGTAACTTGACAGTTTATAAAATTTGATTATAAAAAGGTTTATAAAATTGCAAAATCCAGATTTAATATAAGTTTTTGAGCGAATAATCAAAAGTCCAGATAGAAATTGAATTTAGAATTGAGGGAGAAAAAGCTGCGTCCGGCAATTATTGATCAATTATCAATTTGCTGCTGATATCAAAACGTTTTGTCACTCGATTAAAAAACTTTGGCTAAAATCTGGAATGTTCTTTATCAAATAATTCTGTGTTTTTTTTGCTGATCAATAAATTTATTCGCGCTTTGACATAAGAATATTTTTATCTGAATATCGTAAATTCCGGCACAAAATTTTCAGAATCCTGCGACAGGTTTTCTGAAGTATAGGTTCGAACAAAACAGCGAGTTTATTTTATAAGCAAAAAACAGCGTAAAGCAAAAACAAGATAAGTTTTGTATGCAGATTAGCCACCAAATGAAAATCATTAAATCACTTAGCAATTTTTTTGAGTAATGTAGACTATAAAAAATTTTCCGTACGTTTTTTCAATATTAAAAAAAATTAAACTCACAAACGTACTCATCTTCATTTAAACATTACTTTCAGTGCATTAAGACAGTTGCATGCCAAAAAAAGTTTAAAAAAGATCATAAAAATTAAGCTAGATAATCAGATACTTCAGGCAACCTTATCCACTTTTACTATTGCAAATTTCAAAATAAAATGTTCGTGTTGGCCGGTTCCAACAACTACTCTAAAAAAGACATGCCCAGTATCAACCACATACGTTTTATTATGCTTCGATATAAAACTGTTCAAAAAGATTTGAACTGAAAAAAAAACCTTTTGAAGGAGTAGCTTTTTTCTTTTAAATGAGTGATGGACCATCTCAATTACTGCTCATAAAATATTCGTCCAGAATGGTGCCAACCGATTAAGTTTTTGACTATGTTTGTAGCTATGTCAAACCAAAAGTAATTGTTTTTTTTTTAGAAATACTTTTGATTGGAATCTGAGTTTCAACAATTTTATTTTGATTTTTTTTTCTTTTTTCACAGACGCGCAATCGTCAAAAAATGAGTCAAAACTATGCAATGAGTTTAAGTGAACGTTTCTTTCGCGTAGCGCTTCACATTTAAGCAAAACTATCTAGACAAAATTATCACGCTTTATCAAAGCAATCTTTACTGCGATGCATTTACTTCAGTTTTTAGATCCCACACCAGCTGCTTATTTTGAATTGCCACCAAAAAATCAATTAAAACAGTCAAAAAAGCTGCTGCAAATTTCGCTGAAAACTGCTTGAGGACAAATAAAGCATTCAGACCAAATGATCAAAGACGAAATAACAAAAGTTTGCAAATCTTCCTTTGATGTCAATTGCTGGGCAAAAAAACGATGATACAAAAATATTCGTACGAAAATAACCCAATAACTGCATGCAAGCTGGCTTTACTTCTCATTTATTTGGATTAATTTTACTAAATATAAACCATTTGTATTGATCGCTTGAAAGCCAGCCGAACATTAAGAATAACAAACTATTATATTTTAACGATGAAAATGCCATTTTTTGGATTAAAATTGACAAATTAGCTTCCCAAATACACATTTATAAATTTGGGATGGTGAATCTCTGGCCTTCAGACAATTAAAAAGAACTGAAGAAATCAGAAAAGAGTGAAAAAATCTCTCTGACTTCAGATTTCATAGCATTAATTACATCTTAAATCTTGAAACAGAGCCAACGGATAATTGGAAAAGAGTCAATGGACGCAAAGCAACTAAATTACTCATTTTTGAAAAAAAACTTCAATTTTCGATTTTCAAACAAACAATTATACGACCTATAAACTCTTTGAAATTCAGGAGCAATGCATCAATAGTACTTTTTTGGTAAAATTAACCAAATTTGGGAAATTGGGATTTTTAGGAAAAGATTTTTTTCCACTGAGAAGTCTGAAAATTGAATTTCACTTTCGAAACTAGACACCGATCTCGTTTTTTCACACAAAATCAACTTTCATAATTGGGGAGTGCATTTTGCTTAACTTCTAGCTAATGAGCTTGGATTGAATTCAAAAAAAGCACATACGCCTAAGGGCTATCATATGAAATTTTTAAGTATGAAAGCACTTTTTTTTGTAATTAGCATAATGGCATGACACAATAAACTTAAAAAAAGAAAAAAAATTGTCAACTGACACTCGGAAAAGAGCAATGAACGCTAGGAAATAGAAACAAAAACTGACTTTTGACTTTTATAGACAAAAATTTATACGCTTAAAGGTCTTTGAATATCACGAACAATAAATGATTAGTGCTTTTTTGATCAACAGGAAACATTTTTAATTTCGCTAGAAATTCTTATTCCATTTTCGAAATTCCGAATTCCATTTTCGTAAATTCCATATTCTTAACCAGCAAATTCCATTTTCGTAATAAGTAAATTATATTTTCGAAACCAGAAGTCAATCCCGTTTTTCAAGACCTTTACACTTTCGCTAGTACCGTTTACACTCTTTTTAACAAAGGAAATGCACTGAGCTTAAAAAGAAGTTAAGTCAAACCGTGAAAAATCAAAAATGAGCGCAAACAACTTTTAAATGTTTACTAAGAAAAACAAAAAAATCGAACTAAGCTCATTACTCTTCTTCATAACGACCGTTTAAAATCTGAATTACATTAATCGACTCTTAAGAATACCAACAGATTTTTACTGATTGCCTTGAAAAATAGGCAAATTAGGGAACACGAGCTTGATGCATCAAAAATGTTTTTTAAATGCTCACTTTTTCTTTGCAATTTCTTACTGGAGAGCGTAGATTTCCGTTTATTATACACCTAATTTGAAAATTAGACTTTTTAAAATTGATAATTGGTTTTTTTTTTAAAGTTCACAATTCAAACAATCTAGTCATGCGTCTTGTTGTTTTAACCATGAGCATAGAACCTTGGTAAATGGCTGTTTATTAACCAGAGCACTTTTAAATGGAAATCCTATCAAGGTACTTTCAAACAGGATTCGTTGATTTTTTAAGTATCGAGTTTTAACGGAATTTCTTAAATCATTCGAGAAGTATTGTTGTTCTAAACTAAAATTTAACACGATATTTCACCTGCTTTTTTTACGGTCATGGGCGTTTAAAACTGTCAATTTGTTTTAATTGATACGCGATATATTTCATGCTCTTAACGCGTAAACAGAGATTTAATCCGTCTTAGACATCGTTCCAAATTGAACTTAGGCATGCTATTTGGACTATTTAAAACTTTGCTATATGCTAAATATATCACTGTGAGCTCTACATACATAGCATCTTAAAAAAATCTCACTGCTTTCTTTCGAAAGGTTTGTAAATTCAATTATTTTTAACGGCGAACGCTTGCCCATGACCTTAAGCAGTCGAAACATTCAGGGCTCCGCCCTGACACGAGCAGTCTTGTTCAAATTCTAGAAAGCAACCAAACTATTTAAGAATTTGCCTCTAAAACTAATTTAGAGCGGCGAGTTGCTTAATTCAATTTACAATTTTCCAGGCTAGCAAAACGAAAAACAAAGTTTCAGCTGTTATTAACTAGATCGAACCTAGTTTTTTAATCTTTGCAAAGATAACTTTTGTCGTACCGTTATTTGTCGTTTTCACGGCTGACGGTGACTTTTGTTTCCCTCAAACAAGCACACAAATTAGAGGAAAGTCAAATTATCATCAACATATGTACAATGAAACGTTGAGAAACGGATCAAAAAAATTATTCCATCTTTACAATAATAATGAACAATCTTGTTCAATTAGTTTATGCTTATATCTTAACTATTTATTAGTCTAAAAATTCTGGTTCGAGTTTGATTCCAATTCCTAGTCCTTCGCCTAGGTTTGTTTCGAAATCACAGCCTCTTTTCAGATTTGACATCTTTCCTGGTGACGTACTTTCGATACTTTTATGACTAGCATTGCTAACGTCAGGATTTTGAGCGAACTCGTCAGCATACGAATTGAACCTTGAGTTTTGTTTGCGCATCGCCGTATTAGCACTGCTTTGACTTGTTGATTGATTATTTAGACTAAATGCCTCCGACTTCCGGACAATTTGATCACTTCCGAATTGATTGCATTGCTGGTCAAAATGTTGAGCCGATTGATAATAGAGCAGACCGGGTTGAATATTTTTCTGTCCACTAAATTCTGCATTAGTTTCCTGCTCAACTTGCACATTTTGCTGCTGAAAAAGATCATTTTTTCGGTACAGTTGATCATTTACCTGCCCATATTGATAGTTTCTTTGGTTATAAGTACTTGATTGTTGCATAAGTTGGCCAGTAGGCATCCCATAACTTCCAGTTCTACTCCCAAATTTCACATCATTCTGTTGAGAACTTCCTAAATTCATTTGACCATATTGCATTTCTGCGCTATTCGGATTATCGTTTTGAATCGCTTGTTCATAATTGTCAGCTTCTTGGCGATAAACTCCATCAATTTGTCTTCTGCAAGATGCTTCGTTTTGGTGGCCATATGAAAGCCATCCATCACTTGACCAACTATCTTGCCTCTCAGATTTGGCCTTGAAAGGCGCTAATTGCTTTCTTAATGTCGGTCTAACAGGTCTCAAACCATCGAAACTACTATTCGCGGTTCCTCTAAACGGCGGGGCAGATGAGTTCACCACAGGCGACAAAGAAATTTGATTGGCTTCCTGTTTTACCCCTGAGTTCAAATTCATTCCCATTTGTCGCTGAAAAGGCGGGATATTTGGTTTGAAAGGTTGGATATTTGGTTTCAATAGAGGCACGTTGTCCCCTCTCATTTTTTGTTGTGTTTGACTGTATTTAACCACCACGGGTGGAGGTGGATGAGGTCTTTTGAAACTTCCTTCTTTTGAATTCTGCAAGGATGTCGAGACTTCAGTTTTTATTGGGGAACTCAGCGAGCCATTTTTCGACTGCACGTAATTTGGGGAACTACTGATAATGTTCGAAATTTTGTAATTCGAACTTTGATAACTATTCATAGCTTTCGACACCCCAAAATTATCTTTATTTACAAATGACAATTCCGTTTGTGGCACATCTTTAGCAGCGGAACCTTTGTGTAAACTGTAACCAAACTGCTGGAATGAAGATACATTATTGACATCTTTTCCACTTGACCCGGAAAAATTATTAATTTCCGCTTCTTGGGACCATCGAGTTAAATGCAGTTTTTGGTTATAATTATTACTGCTCTTACTAATACTTTTAGCAGCAGGTAAACCAATTGAATTCGAAATTTCATTCGGGTTTTCTTGCTTAGGCTCAAATCGCCGTGGCATTAGAGGCGGCGCCGTTTTTGCTTTGAAAGGGTTGCATTTTGCAAGATCAACTGTCTTATTTTCTGTGTTAATATATCTCGATTTCAATTGGTAATCATTGTCACTTTCTGTTGAAGATTGCAGTCGGTTTCGTTTCGCTGATGGTTCGGAATTGAGTCCTTTCGGGTCGTCTTCGATCATCCGTTTGTATCGTGGATGGGGGATTTCTCTGTTTTCTGGCAGTTGGTCGAGTTTCTGTTGAAAGAACAGGTTGGCTTCTTTGTTGTACTCAGTCACCAGTTTCTAAAACAGACAAGGACAGTTGAACAAGTCGCAGAAATTGCTCCACTTATCACTAGGGCTGGAGGTACCAGTTTGACATTTTTAAGATTACGTTGTACTGATGCGAGATGAAACGCGTATTTTTTAAAATTTCAAAAATTGGACACCATTCTGAACCTTAGTTGTTTCCTACTTAAAATGATTTAGCCACTTATGTAGGGCGGGTTTCTCGTACCCGTTCTTTCACTTGAACTCTCTAATAGATCAGGCTGGGTCGTTTACAAGAAAAGTAGAAAAACTTCCGAAAAACGATCAAAATTTCGAAAAATGGTTTTTTTTATGGTCATACGGGATTTTTAGCAAACACTAGGTAGCACCCGTTTATGCAAGGAAAATCATTGAACCATGCTCTTTTAAATGAACAATTACCCTCAGAATTGTCCGGGCAGTTTTTGAGAAAATAATCGAAATCTCCAAATTTTGATTTCTCAAAAGTTCGTGACGGTTTTTTCTACGAAGCTACATCTGCAGGAAACACTCCCAAAACCTGGGAGGTGTAGTCACTTATACAGCAATAATTCACAAACAACGTTTTCTCGATTGAACACTAAATTCAAGAACTTGCAGATTAGTTTTCGGGAAACGTCAAAAAGTTTGCAAAGAAACGTTCAAAAATTTGAATTTTTTTGAAGGCCATACCTTTTTCTACAAAAAGTAGGGCGTAGTCACTTCTCGGAAGATTCCCACAACCTATCGTTTGGATTGAAATTGGTCAAAGATTCCACTATGGCAAACTTTGAAGATCGTAGAAAATGGAGTAAGGTAGAAACAAAAGAGACAAGAAGATTATGCAGCGCACAGGGAAGTAGCCGGTCTTTCCATTGATACCATTTATTCAAAAATCAGTGCAGTTTCAAAAAAAAAACTTTGAAATTTTGCGAAAAGTGAAAAACTTTTTCAACGCGTCTCAAGAAAATTAAAAACCAAATCCCATATAATTTTATAATACCTGTTTTTATCGCACAGGAGTTACTAAATAAAATACAAAAAAAACGTTTTTTTTTTGGTAATGCAACATCGAAAAAATCTTTTGCTCCCTTTATTGAGTTGACAGAAACCAGATCAAGAAGTAACAAGTCGCACCATAGTAAATCCCCAAGTGCAATGAAGTCGCAACAAGTTTTCGCAAAATTTTTTTTAAAACATCAGGGTTTTTTGAAAATTTCACACCACAAGTTTAAATTGGCATGTTTTGTCTTGTATTGCATTATCAAAACCAAATGTCAATGGGAAAGATTTCCGAGTCGCCTATGTTGAGCCTTAAGCGAATACTCGCCAAACTGAAATGATCCATGAAATAATAAAAAAAGTAAATTTACAGACCCCCAAAACTTTACAAAACTGATTGCAGTTGTATTATTTGTTTAGTTGTGGTACATGGACATCAAAACTTTTCGGATATTAACAAAAAATGCTATTAAAAATTATCAAGAACTTTTTCAGTGAAAAAAAACTAGAGCACAGCGCAAATAATCTCCGAAAGTCGGAACAAAAAAACTAGTAGACTACTATAATCCTCAGCATAGCCTTTGACTCTGTTTTATATGTAATTATTGAAACAACCCTCACCACAGAACTTGAACACAAAACTCCGAATTAGGTTGGAAACAATTGGACTCAAATTGGAATTAAGTTGGAAAAAAAAGCCCAAAAACATGAAAATCAATCATAACACACATTTGAAAAATCGTGTAAGAATCTGGATCATGACTGAAAAAGATTTGACGTGATATCACAATTGAAGTTTTGTACATAACTTGCGTACATTGATATCAGAACAAATCTTAGGAAGTTAAAACCAAAAAGTGATCGATACTTCGAACCATTGCCAACAGACATTTGGAGAAGAGTAAAACAGCATAAAAACTGACCTGTTTTTCGAAAAATCTCAACCTTCAAGTATCAAAGAAAAAATTAGATGACCTTAAAGCTCCGTGAGTTTCCAGAACAATTTATAACTGACATTTTATAGATAACATTGACCCAATTTGAGAACACTAAATCAAAAGGTACATTTTTTATTTCGCTGCGAAATCTGATAATTAAAATTCATTTTTGAAAATTGAAATCGATCACATTTTTGTGACCTTTGCACTCATCCTGTTCGATATTGGATTTTGTATTCCTTTTAAACTTAAAAAGAGACCAAAAGTCAAACCACGAAAAAGTAAAGTTGAGCCTCAACAAATTTAAAGACTTTTCCTGAAAAAATCATCACGACGTTCAATGGCTCCTAAAAGCGTACTTCGTTTAATTATTCATTGCTACAGTTTAAAACAAAAATACCAAAATTCGCATCGCTCTGACGCTCTATTTAGAAAACGGTAAAACTGACCAGCAAATCTATTTTTTGCATTAAGCATTGTTTTGTTGTCATGATAGCGTCTCTTAAACTGTTGCTTTTTATTGTATGAGGAGCAGTTTTGTTCACTTAGCTTTTGATCAAGTCACACCGTGGCACTCTATAAGTTTGGGTAAAAACTGCAACAAAAATTACATTTGCGCGCTGAAAATTAATTTTCAAATTCGCCATTCAAACTGTTTCAAAATTTGTTGTTGAGAACTTGAGCTAACCTTGAAACTAAATTTCAAATTAGCCCTTCACATTAGCAAATTTAGTGACCTTGAAACCTAAGACTAACCTTGCTCGTTTGTTCATCTTCCTCTACGTAGTGAATACTAGTCCAGTTCTCAACCTTCTGGTCCGGTAGTTTGTAGAATTTCTTCATCTCCATCACTGACTTAACTGGAACCCATTTGCCATCCTCCCTTCCTGTCTTGACAGTCCTCTTTTCCAGTTCAGCTGGGTCACACATCACCACGTAGCAGTTGCACTGATAGCTGAAAAAGGGATCTCTTGAACTAACGAATTGCTCACCCTTATAAATAACTACTAGCGGTGCTTTAAACAGATTGATGCACGTAAAAAGTGCTTTTATAGAAAGTATATGAAAAGAAACAACGAAATGAATGCAACCACAACAATATACAGGGGCATCCAACAACACTTTTTATTTCAAAAAATGAATGATTAACTAAACTCAAATTAAAGATTATTTTTAAACTAAAATTCTCAAATAACTCAGTAATAACCATAAAATGGTCGACATCATACAAGTGAATTTTCCATATTAAACAAAAACAGAAACCAAATCATTTGCAAAATCACTAAATTCATAAATGAGATTCATGCTTAACTTTGTTCTTTATTTTCTTAACTGTCTGTACGTAAATCATTTGCTGCCATTAATTGTTAAATTCAGCGTAATCCCTTTTAAAATATCAGACTCTTTTTGTTAGTTTAATTCCTAATTTGAAGATAATTTTTGAAATATCATGAAGAACATCGATTTCGCAAAAGAAAGAAAAGACTAATAATATTAGGATGGAGGCCACTTATATAAATCCTAGTAGTAAGTGACATCACCCCACCAAAGAGTCGACAACTTCAAAATTTTTGAAAAATCAAAAACGTCCCACCTAAAAAATTTAAAGTTGTTGAGTAGTCAGCTTTAGAGTGCAGATATAAACCTGCTGGAATACCTTGACAACACCCCACACCATAGTGTTGAGAACTTGAAATTATGTAAAGATTTCTAAAATTGTTTTTTTTTGAAAAACTTAGAAAATTGTTAAAAACATAAAATTTTGGAAACTAAAAAGATTTCAGCAGTCATATTTGAAGGCAAGATTTGCAAAACCACAGAGTACCATGGCAGCCGCCAAAACTTTAAAGGCACAATTTGCGACCCCTGAAAGTACCCTGACAGCACCCAACTACGCAGTTGAATAATTCAAAGTATGTGAATTTTTTTGTTTTGAGAAAATTTTTGAAAAATCACAAAAATCGTCGTATTTCGAAAACTACAAGAATTTCTTCTTTCGTTATCGATGCAAAAAATCTACGTTGAAAAAAAAATTAAACATGGCGAGGTAGTGAAGCCCGCGTTTAAATATACTGTAGAATAGATACCTTTCGTTATTGTTCCGACCATTGGAAATGGGGAGGAACTTTGTATTCGGGTGTGTTTTAGTTTTTTTTCTGTTTCTTTTCCACTCAAAAAATCAGGTACCACAAACAAGCATCGGACTCGGTTGAATGGTATATCATATAACAGCTCTTACAGTCGTGATTTGAAACACATTTTAAAAAAATTCAAAAAAAAATTCCCTTGTCGAGAAAAACCGGTTTGAAATTTTTTTCGTCATATTTCGAGCAAATAAAGCGAGCTCGCAGTCTCAAATTGATTGCTTAAAAGCCTACAATAGCTTAATTTAAAATTAAACGTTTTACTTGACTAACCTTAGTTTACTGTGAGTATTTAAGCATCTTTTTGTAATCAAAATGTCCAAAAACTCAAAAAACTTATAAATTTTTCTAAATTTTTTACGTTTTTCAAGTAATTTATCTACAAAAATTGTTTTTCAATTAATTTATTTGACTATGACTGTCGAATGTACCTAATCTCCAGTTTCTTGTTCAGCTCGTTTTATCACACCACGCCGAAAAAAAAAACAATATATTAAGAAAAACTTTGTTGTATTTTTAAGACTATGGTCGGAACATTCTGTGCTACTTGCGCAGTACCGGCTATCCTTGTTCAAATAAGCCATTTGGAGCATTCGACTACATGAAATTCAAATTCACAGAGTTGCTCATTCAAGAACTGAACAAAACGGAAGTTCGCATTTTCGACATGAAGTTAACGAAATGCCTATCAAATGGAGAAGACTTCCTGAAGCTGGCGAAATTAAAAGCACCACAGCGTATAGCAGTGTGTACAGAGACCAAACGCCTTTGGAGAAACCATAATCAGAAGTTTGATGTAGAGATGAGAGAGTGTTTAGTCTCCCTGTTGAAGCCAATAGCTACATTACCCTCATAATCTAAATACTGAGTTGAGGAGACTATTGCCACAGAAACTACGTGTATGCTTGAAGACACTGGCCTTTGTTATTGGTTGACTTGGATATACTTAAAAAATAAGCAGAGACTCTTCAATTGCCTAAAAAGAATACATCGAGTTTATGGCTGCTAAAGTAAATCTAATGAAAATCTTTATGAACCAGTTTGGGTACATTAATCTAACAAGATCTTTTGGCACAGCTCTGAAATAAAAGCGCGCTAACCGTATCACAGCGACGCAAAGTGGCCCAAATGTGACGTTCTGTGCTTCAAAAGCACCAAATATTGGAGCTGCGCACTATATCATTATAAGCGACAGCATGACGAAAGAACTGTTTGCGTTTTCTCCAAGACGAAACGAAATTGAATTGCTGCATATGAATTAAATCTTCGGGCGTACCTTGAACTGAGGCAAACTTGAGTAATGATTCGTTTCCTAGCGAAACGCCTTTACAAGTATTCACCTTTCTTAAATCCAACAGAAAATGTCAGGCTGGAAAAACAGCTTGAAAAATTTGTTGACTGAACATCAAACTACTTTCAGACGTCCAGACGAAAACCGTCATTTACAAAACGAAGATGAAGTTTCCGGAAAATGAAGCAAAATATCAAAGTAGCCCAGCCATAAAAGCAGCAAAATGACCATCCGGGCATAATAACGTTCTCACGTTTAATGATGGTAGAACTAGCGTTTAACGCACCTCCGGTGCTTCGAAATTTTTCAACAACTCATGAAAAACCGCATATATTGGAAACAACATCTGCAAACTTTTAGTGTACTCTGACTGCACCCAATTACAGGGTTGGTAATTTCGAACTTTTAAATTCCCATTTCAAAAGCGTCATCTCGAAAAAATAATGGGCCTCTGGAGAAATTTGGAAGCCAGTTTCGCAACCACTGAGAGTCCCTGAGAGCAGCCTACTATAGGGCTAGGAATTCAACATTTTGTGAATTTTTTTAAACCTAAGTTTCCCGAACAAAAAATTGAAAAAAACGTCTTATCTCGGAAACTAAAAGAACTTGAGCATTCATATTAAGAGGCAAGAGTTGAGAGGCCAGGGTGTACGCTAACAATGAAGTTGTATCTTCATCGAGTTGGTAGTTTCAAATTTTTTGAATTTCTTTGTAGATAAATTCTTTGAGAAATTTTGAAGAAATCAAAAAAGGTCACATCTTGGAAGCTAAAAGCATTTGAGCAGTCGCGTTAAGCAGTAGCATGTCGCAAGATTTGCAACTCTTTAGAGTACCCTGACAACACCGAACTATAGAGTTGGGAATTTCAAATTTTGAAAAATAATAATTTAAGTTTTCTGAAAATTTTTGAAAAAATCATAAAAAATGTCATATCTCGAAAACTACAAAGAATTGAGCAGTCATATTTGGGGGCAAGATTCGCAATCTTTGAGAGTACTTTGACAAGTTCCAACTAGAGGGTTGGGAATTTCACATTTTGCGAAAAAAAATTACCATAAGTTTTCTGAAGATTTTTTGAAAAAATCACAAAAAACGTCATATCTCGAAAACTACAAGGATCTGAACAGTCATTTTGGAGGCACGATTTGTAATTCCTTGGAGTACTCTGACAGTACCCAACTACAGGGTTGGGAATTTCATGTTTTAAAAAAATAATAATAATTTAAGTTTTCTGAAAATTTTTGAAAAAATCACAAAAAAGTCATATCTCGAAAACTACAAGGATTTGAGCAGTCATATTTGGAGGCAAGACTCGCAATCCTTGATAGTACTCTGATAGTACCCAACTACAGGGTTGGGAACTTCAACTTTTGTAAATTTTGTTTTTTGAAATTTCTGAAATGTTTTGGTAAAATCTCAAAAATCGTCTTATCTCGTTCACTAAAATGATTCGGGCATTCAAAAATGGAGGCCAAATTCACAACCCGTAATTCGATATTGGGCTGCTTAATTTAAAATCGGTAAAATAACCACTAAAATCAAATTGGAAAAACGAAAAATAAATCTTAACCATTGCAATATACGATATAGCTTAAACATGCAAAAAAAAACGTTGAAAAAGCTTAAACATGGCGAGATAGTGAAGCCCGCATTTAAATATATGGCCAAATTCGCAACCCCTAATTCGATATTGGGCTGCTTAATTTAAACTCGGTAAAATAACCACTAAAATCAAATTGGAAAAACGAAAAATAAATCTTAACCATTGCAATATACGATATAGCTTAAACATGCAAAAAAAAAACGTTGAAAAAGCTTAAACATGGCGAGATAGTGAAGCCCGCATTTAAATATATAATAGATAAACGTCGAGGATATAGAATGACTTGGTTTCGAACAATAATGTTTGTTTTTTTTATGCTCTGTTGCAGTTATATAGTTGACGTCTTTCTTTGAATATTTGAATTTGTGTTGAATTTTAACGGTTGAACATGTCTGCATTTTTTACCTAGAAATGAATCTCCCCCTTTTCAAAACGGGACTGGATCGTTAAAGAGATCCAGAAAAACGTAATTATGTATTTCGTGCAACTACAGTTGAACCTTTTTAACATGCATTTAGTTGATTATCAGTATATCTAAAAGGCATCCCATATCCTAAAATTTGTTAGAAAGTTTCCTAAGTGGGTTTGTTTGAAAGGCATATTTTAAACTCAATTCTTTTTCAAACTTAGCACAAGGCTAGGGGAGATTACAGTTGGTCCCAATTTAGCATTTACCGCAAAATTCGTAACGAATATCATTAGAACCGACCCCTTGTAGAACTTCTTCTTCTTCAGCCTGGCCGACTGATACACATTAGTCTGATCCACAATGTAGTTGCGCAGCTTTTGATGGGAGAAGCGGAAGAACTGAAAAGACATTCTGCTATAAAAACTTTGGTTTTCCCTGATTAAAAAAACCAATTCAGAAAGGATTCTTTAAAAATATATTTTTTTATCTTTTGTTTTCTTTATATCTTCGAATCCTAGAAAAAAATAATTTTTATTAAAATAACCTCATCAGAGAAATGAGCGCTTAATCGGTCATTTACTATCGTTTTAGCAAATGATATTGAATTGAACAATCAAGACTTATACAAGTGTATTCACTACGCTCATTGACGCTAAAAATTAAGAAGGAAAAAACACAAGCGCTGCTTCTGTAAAAACTATATGAATACCACAAGTATTGAAACAAAATAAGCACTGAAAAAGACAAGACAGAGCAAGCCCTGAATAATCTGTATATATACTATTTTTTGAGGGGACCTGTTTTTCAAAAATTTGTATGCGGCGCAGAAAATTTGACCAAGACAGTCTTTTTAGTGCTCTGTGAGAGCTTAGAAAATCAATTTGGTCGACCTAAAAAAAGGTCGTCAAAATTTTCTAAAAATTTTTGAAAATCCGAAGCTCCCCCTCGAGAAAATCCTAGACCCGTCCCTGAATCTGACTGCGCTTTTTCGGCTCCAATCGTTTTTGATTAAAATAATTTTAATTTACATGGTCAAATATTAAAAATTACAATTTGAGTCGCACAAGGAAATAAAAAGACAATTAGCTGGCCTTATTTGAAAGAAAGAAAGAAAGAAGAAAGAATTTATTTCTCATTGTTAATGGTAAATTTGCATACAAAGAGAATTTAAACATGAAGCACCAGAAACAGTGAAGGGACAGTTAACGAACCCAATTTGGTTACACAGCGCTGCCCGTTTTATCAAATGAAAGACAAATTTGTGATCTTCAAAGACAAGGAAAATTATATAAATCTGAAAACATAAAAGAAAATATTGGAAAAAATATTCAAGTTTGAATAAACATAAAGCAGCAGATTTAAGGCATTGTCTAGACAGGTTAATGACATGAGGTCCAATCTCTGTATCAATATTTAAAGTGATTGTTCAATCGTAGTCGGTATAAAACCAAATTAAAGAAGAAGTTACTTGAAAATCATCACTCATAATTTCTCAAACTCGCTAGTCGTAGGCACCCCTATTCGGCTTCAAAAACAAATCTTGAACTTGTTCCCTTTACGGTTACTGCTTCTACTAACTGTGTCCCATCCCTTGAAGCCTCTCTAACATCAGCAGAGTTGATTGGGGGCTAAACGGTCAGTAGACATCCAACTGAGCCCATAAGGCAGTAACCAGCGAACAAGCCCAAGTGTGATCTTCAAAACGCCGAAGACGCATTGAAAACCATTTTTAAATACACTTAGAAAAAACTTCAAACAAGCATGCACTCCACATCTGCCATCCCGAATTTCGAATTTCGTGGGCAATGCGTTGAATCCCGAATTTCGTGGGCAATGCGTTGAATATCTGAATTTGAAACTTGATCAAAAAATTTTGGAATTAGGGAATTTTGTCTAAGTATAATAGAGAGCTTAGCTCCTCTGTAACTAATTGAAGCTCTTTGAATTTTGCTTTGGAAATTAGGAATTTTCATTAGATTAAAGTTTGACCTTCTGGTCATATACGACGGTTTATCAAAGACAAAAAGCTCGTTTAAAAAAGTTTCAGAGTGTAGTCCTGCTATTGATCGCAAACCAAATTTGAGGAGTTCATACACATGCAGCTCGTGAACTGTTAAAAACTTTTCATCATTAAAAACTTTTCGAATGCTTTCATATTTTCTTTTGAAAAAAGAAAAATCGAATAATTTTTTTTGGATAAAAAAGGGGTAAAAGGTTTGTGTAGGAAGTGCAACCATACACTAAAATTCCATATTGCAAAATGGGCTTAACATTAGAGCCATAACAATCAATCATGACAGTTTTGGGAACATAATGACGCATTTTCGAAACAATGCCACATTGTTTGCTAAGCTTGGATCGTATGAAAATATTGTGAGAATTAAATTATAATTTAGCATCTACATAAACCTGAAGATATTTGCATGACCCTTCAATTTTCACCGTTTTGTCCATATTTAGAGATAATTTATTCAAAATTAACCATTTATTTATAGCTTCTAAGTCTTGATTGAAACTCTCAACCAAGCAATTTAGTCCAGTGACGTTTGTGTCGTCGGCAAAAAAAAACTTTGCTAAATTTACAGACTTTTGGAAGGTCGTTTATATATAAGAAACAGCAGAGGCCCCAAAATGGATCCGTGGGACACCACATTCAAGAAATCCCGAAAGAAAGCCTTGTTTGCAATTTTGATACACAGAGACAAAGCTGCACTTTGCAAACATAGCCAAACGACCGTTTCAGTTCAAGTGTCAAATTTAAAAGTAAGAAATATATGGCCTTAAAGCTGTTTGAACTTAAAAAAATTATGACTGACACTTTTTTTTTTAATTTAACTCAATTTGAAAAACCCTATCAATGAAAAACTTTTTATCCCACTGGGAGATCTGAAAATTAAAATCCACTTTCGAAATAAGAAGTCGCTCAGATTTTTTTGTTCCTTTATACTTAATGACTTTATTAAAGAAAACGAATTGAACTGAAAGAAAAATGAAAAAAGTCAAACCGAGAAAAATCAAATTTGAGCGTGAACACATTTTAAGTTTCTTTCCTAAAAAAAACAAAAATTACCAAGACCTATATAAGAATATTCACTACGTCTATTGACTCTTAATAAATACTTAGTTTTGTTCAACGTTTATAAACAGCCCTCTCATATACTCAAACTGTTCTCAGAATACTATGTAAAACGTACAGTTTTGAGTATGTCGTTTGCCCTGTCGAACAGTGCCTCCCATCTGCCGTGGTAGTTGTTCTTCCTAGTTAACCCTGTCACCCTCATCTTGTCTATGATGTCATTGGTGCCCAACACCACATACTTCTTCTCAGGGTGTCGAGCCACAAACTCCTTAATGAAGGTCGTCTTCCCTGAACATGAAATCAAATAAGCAACAAAAAACTGAAGTAGTTTTGAAAAATTGAAACCGCCAAGTTCTCAAACTAAAATTTTTTCTGGTTTCTTTTTTTCTCCCGCGTTTAATTGTACACTGCAATTGATTATAGATTTATGTCGAAAAACCTTTCTAAAATTGACAGTTCCCTTTTTCATCTGAAAATATTCTTTAAGATTAAGTTTATCGCTGTTTATCCAAAAGGGAACGAACCGACATACGAGTTGTTAAGAACAATCTGTTGTTTACGGACAACCACAGCTGTCTCAACACGGTTGCTTATTACCATTAAATCTTTATGACTCTAACCTGAGGGGAATTTAATTTACAGAAAAACTAGCGTGTAACAAATTATAAAACCACAAATAATGGAAATAAGATCTACATCCTTTGAGAAAACACTGACAGCACCCAATTACAGGAATGGTATTTCAAATTTTTTCAAAAAAATTTTTTCAAGTTTTTTTTTACTTAAATTTTTTAAAAATCATAAAAGTCTAAAAATTTCTTGGAAAAATTCTAAAAAAAGACATAAAAACGTCACATCTCGGGAAATGAAAGAAAATGAACGGTCGCATTTGAATGCAAAGTTTGCAACTTCCAGCTGGTGAGAGCACCTTCGCAGTTCAAAACTACAAGGTTGAGAATTTCGAACTTTTTGAAATTTTAAAAATCTAGGTTTTTTGAAAAAATTAAAAAGAAATCATAAAAAAACACGCCATATCTCGATAACTACAGGGATTTGAGCAGTCATTTTTTGAAGCAAGGTTCGCAACTCCTTAGAGTACCTCACAGTTTTAAACTGCAGGATTGAGAGTTTTGAATTTCTCTAAAACTAAATTTTTGAAAAAAAAAACATCATATCTCGAAAACTACAATGAGTTGAGAAGTGAGATTTGGAGGCAAAATTCGCATTCTCGAAAATTACAAGAAATTGAGCAGTCATATTCAGATGCAAAATTTGCAACTACCGGGAGTACCCTGATAGAGCCTCATTATGCCACCATTGGGTTGTTAATTTCAAAATTGATGAAAGAATCCGTGACATCAAACTGGAAAATCGAAAACATAGCCAACTGACAGTTGGACATGAGTAATGAACGCAAGGAAACTGAAAAAAGACTTGTTTTTTCAAAAATCTTCAATTTTTGAATTTCGAAGAAAAAATAGATGGCCTTAAAGGTCTTTGAATTTGCAGAAGAATTTATGATGGACACTTTTATGTTAAAAATAACTCAATTTGAGAAAACTGGATCAATAGGCAAAACTGTTATTTCGCTGGGAAATCTGATAATTAATTTCCATTTTCAAAAATAAAAGTCGATCACGTTTTTCGTGACCTTCACAACTTTGCTGTTCGATAGTGGAGTTTGCCTGACTTCTAACAATAGAACTGCACGGAAAATCACCGCTTAAAGTCAAACCGCGAAAAATCAAAACTCAGCGTGAACAAATTTTAAGACTTTTTCCTGGACAACAATCAGCAAGACCTATAAAAGAGTACCCACTACGTTCACTACTCTTAAAAAATTCTTAACCATTGCAATGTACGATATAGCTAAAACGTGAAAAATATCATTCGTTGAAAAAGCTTAAACATGGCGAGATAGTGAACGCCGCATTTAAATATATAATAGATGACCCTTTGCTATACCTGTTAACTGCATTTTTGAAAACTACAAATGTACAATTTCAAATGTACAATAATGAACAATATCTCCTGACCAAAAAAAAACAAAATATATGCATCATGGAAAACAATTTTTTACACAAATGTACAAATGTATTACTCACCGGCAGCCGGGAGTCCAACAAACATGTTCCACTCGTAATCTTCAGGCGACTCTCCCGGTTTAAACGCTGGCTGCAGCTCCCCGCCACACCTGGCAATCATCTCAAATCCAGGCCGAAGGGCAAAGACCGGAGGTACCAGCCCAAAATTTACCTGAAAAAAGAAGTAATTTCTTCTATTTCTATTATTTCTGCTAGCTATTCGAAGGTTTCAAATGGCAACGTTCAAACTAATCATAGATGGCCACTATCATTTAAATGACAAATGGGTAACACTATCTTAAATGTATTTTTTTGGGAATTCGTATCTAACTTACAGAGTACTTCATGTTCTTGGATGCTATGTGGGGAAAGAGGGGTTTTTCGCACTTGTTAAGCACAAAGGCCATCCCCATGAACTGGCCATTCACTGCGTAACTGATCTCTCCGTGGCCACCTTGCGCTTTCTTGTCTGAAACCGAAGACAAATTAGATATTCATCTACCAGGTACAAATTCTTGTCTACTTAATCGTTGAACTAACGCTTTATACATTTGCTAGACAACATAGGGGTCTTTTTTTGCAATTCCAAACTGACGAGTGTAATAAGCGTTGTAACTTCTCTTCGAATAAATAAAAAAACTACAATCAGGTGAAAAAATTTATATGGTCATTCTCTAACAATATATCTCAGATTGCAGACGGCCGTGATAAACCTACGCAATATCAGAGGAAAAACCGTGAATTTTTTCTTTATACTTTAGGCGTTTTCGTTATACTAATGTAATTTAGGTACTTAAGAGATACAAGCCATTGGAAGTGTAAGCCACATACCTAAATAGCAGGTGACAACATCTCCAACTGCGAACTTGACCCCGTAATCAGTGAATATCCTCTTTGTGCTCTTTTTCCCCGTGCCACCGTAGCCCCAACTGTCCTTCACTTCTCCCAGATTCAAATCTGTGAAATCCTAAATTAAAGCTTTTTAGGATTCACAGAACTCAAGCAATTTTGAACTAAATGAACTTTATTGAATTAACGAATTCATGCAATGAACTCGAGCAAGGATACCGAAAAAACAATGACTTTTTTCTCAATCTTCTACATATCACACTTTTTGTAGCAAACGGAAAGTTCGAAAACTGTCGATGAGCGGAAGCAAACCACAAAAAAATTATTATTTTTTAAACCAAAAAGACCGAAAATCGATTTTTTCTCCTTTGTCTTCTGAACATGAAACTTTTTGAATAAAGCTATCCAGCTGGAGAAAACCAACGCGAGCAAAGAGCATGCAAAATTACCCAAATTGTTTGACTAAACTGTGAACCAATCGTACTTATGAACTCAAACTAACATCATAAGGAAATAAGGGTTGTGAGTTGCTGCACAAGTAGCAAAAAACCGAACCACAGTAAACAATGCACAAAAAACTTGAAAACCAGCAAATTGACAATTTTTCTTCACTTTCTTAAATTTTTCAATTGTTTTCAGTGTAAAAGGATTGGCCCGCAGTTTACAATATGCTTATAAGATAGATTAAAGAACCATTTAAATGTAGTAAAAAAACAATAACTATAATAACTTGGCAAATAAACTACAATAACTTGGCCAATGAACTAAGATTCATTGCAAAAATGTTCTGAAATAGGCCTAAACTTTTGCAACACTCTTTATTTGTGTATCATATAGTCAAACTACCTGTGACCAGCCAACTCTTGTGACGTGGGGAGTTCCGCCTGCTTTGGTCTCGTTCTCTTCAAACTCCACCTGCAGGTTTTCCTCAAGGTACACTTCGAAAGCTGCCTGAAAAAAGAACCACACTGAATGAACACTATTTATCCACGAGGAAAGGACCAAAATGTTAGCTGTTCAGCTCTATAAGGCTAACCACTGTTGTGCTTTTAAATTCAGACTTAAGACTTATTTAAGTTTTTTGGTTACTAATCTAAGACTCGGCTGACAACCTGAGCGTACAAACTCATAATCGCCCTTTTATTCTGATTTTGCGTAGTTTGCGTTCATCGATTGTTAGATTTTATACTCAAACTTTACAATTCCGAACTTTTTTCCACACAAAACTAAGTACCAAAAAAGCCATCGGAATTGGTCAGGTGGGATCTACTTAACAATCTCCCCCCCTTTCAAGAAAGGGGGTAGATTCTTTAATAGGTACAATAGGGGGGGGGAGAGATTGTTAAGTAGATCCGTCAATCCGTCAAGTGATATTAAAACCTTTACAGTCGTGATTCGAATGATATGAACAAACTTCCAAAAAAACAGTGTCAGGAGAAGCCGGTTAGACAATTCCGTCAGGCTAATAATATGAGCGAGCACGATTATTAAGGGCAATAAGCTTTTACCTACTCTGCGAACATTAACTTTACTCCACTTAACTTTCACTCCAGTTTTTGGAGCTTTAAACGCCATGTGGAATTGAAAAGGTATCAAAAATGTTTTGCAGAAAATTTGAATCAATTTTAGAAGAGTTTTTAGTGACATAATACACAATATGGGCTAGATTTACTGGCAGTAAAGCATATTCCCGACGGCAGTCGAACCCGGACCTGAGGGTACTAGGTCGCTGTGTTAGCTACGAAACTAGCAAGTCTGCACGCTTTCAAGAATGGAAAATTTATTGATCAACTCAGAATTCTTAATATTTAGCATTATTTTGAGGCACACATTCAAGACAACTGCTGTCGAACTGATAATGCTCGGTTATGACTTTAGTTCTAAACTCGTCTCCTCGAAATTCAAGACTCATGCATCTCACTACCGGCACAGACGCTTCGGTTCGGGTCCCGGCGGGAGCCAACTTTTTTTTCTCAGCTGAGTTAGATCAGTTCGATCTGCCATCTATTGTTAAATATCGCCGAATTTTTTAGGTTCTTCGATTAAATTTTCGAAGAAACCTGTGGTTGATTAAGCCTAATTTGCTATCACTATCGAATATATATTAATTCTCGGCTTCGTTCAGACCCGCTTATACTACGACGAACAGAAAAAGACACACAAATTGAAATTAACTATTTAATTATTGTGGTCGCAACTTTGTGCTACGTTCACAGCTATCTTCGTAATTTTATACTTATATTTTGCTTGATCGTTTAAATTCTTGATCCTTGAAGTTCTACAGTGCTTCATTCGCCGTAATTTCATCAATTTTATCAAATCAAATAGAAAAAAGAACTTACAAAAAAATAACTAGGCTTCAATCTATTAATAACAATTCACTCGACAACATACCTTTCCAGAAACAAGTCCATGTGTGGCCATAATGCCTCCCCACAAATTCTGGAACCCTTTCGATCCCAAATCATAAGCTGACAATCCGTTATTCGACACTGTCACGTACAAGTCACAGTTGAACGGGTCCAGGTACACGCCAGTATTGAGTGCCTGGATTTCTTGGTTCTGATTGGCCTGGTTGTGATTCTTGGTGGTGGTCAATGACAATCTGCTGTGGACGTTCGATTTACCTCTGAAATAAATTGAGTAAACTTCATGATGTCAGAATAAAACAGCCGACTACAAACAGGATTATCCAATCACAAGATTATCCTGCAGTTAGTACAGGATGATCCAATCATAGTGATCATTGAATGGAAAACGATGAAAAAGTTCAAATATCTTTAATGAACACCACTTCTCAAATAGTTGCTTTGGTAAATCACAGAGATGAGCTTCACACCACTTTCGATACATTAAACACAGCATGGCAATCTAGCCGACAGAAAAAAGTACTACAAAAACTTTCTATTCTATGTTTGATGTATCGCAAGTGATGCGAAGCTCCACTTCGCATGTGATCTACTAAGGCAACTAATTTACGAGAGGACAGGAGCTTGTTTTAACAGTTGAAACAGTGAAAATACTTAAAATGGTGCAGCTTGCAATTCTTATTACCCAAACGTAGCTTAGAAACACCATACGGCGTCATCAGGGAGGCTTTACAAGAAAGCTATTTCATTTTTGCTATTTTGACAGAACACGTTAATTACAGTATTTATGTTTAGTCCAAAATTATACATTTGTTATCATTTTAAATTTTAATCGGTTTACAAGGATTAAATTAGAAATAGTCGTGAATCGATTCCTGGGGCAAACGACAAATAAATCATAATTTGAAGCATAATTTTCAGAAAAACGTACCCTTGGCTGAAATCAGAAACACCTGTCGACATTCCTGTCACACTTCCAGAGTTACACCCAGAGTCACTAGAACTATCTCGGCCAAACCTCTGACCAAATCCCGACGTAGAACAACTGCTCACGCTTCCCATCGAATCTCTTCTATAGGAACTACTATTTGTGCTTCTATCATAAGCATCATCGTTATTTCGACGCATTCCCGAATCTTCGGTATTTTTGAACCTGTCCAAATCGAAAAATGAATCGCCACTGCTTTGATATTGATGATGCTGGTATCGATTTTGGATTTTGTCGAACAATTTCTGGAAGTTTTCTGAAGCTGCGCGATTATTTTGATTTTGGCTGGCAATATCAACATCATTTCGCGCATGAAATGTAGTTGAATTATTTCCACTCCAACTTTGAGAATCGCGCTGATTTACACTTGAATTTCTTACACCTGTAGTTATATTTTGGGAATCATTGTTATTTCCACTTGATTTGGAAAAACTACCCAAATTCGACTGAAACGGAGGTTTTGTAGGTACTACCACTTGTGGGGCTTCTGGTTTACCGATTCCATGCTTAACCTGGTTATGATTGTAATTATAATTATAACTTCCACTATCGGCATGGTTATAATTATCTGAATGTGCATTGAAATATCTATCAGATGAGTTTCCTGAGTTTGAAGGCTGCGTTAAACTATTATCTGAAGGCAGTGCAAAAAATCCGCCACTCGGAGATTGGTTCAAATTTCTTCCAGCGGGCTCCGTGAAGCTATTTAAATCTGTTCTTCCGTAATTTTCAATCTCTGGTTGCCTCATTTTTGCCGAATCGAGAAAAGGTCCAGAAGAAGAGTTAGCAAATGAGTTTCCGGGAGATGGAAGCAGATTTCTCTCACTTTGATATACGTCTTCGCTGAAACTCGAAGACTGAAATGAGCTTTCAGGTGTTTCCTTTCGGTTCGCGAAAGGGGGTGCAGAAAAGCGCTGCGGAATCATTGTGGTACCTGAAAACTTAGGGATCTCTTTTTGTTTCTTTTTTGGATACTCATCATACCCAAATACTTCCACAGCTCAGGGGCGAGTCTTAGAGACGAAAGAGTTTCAAAAATTTTGTCCGTCTTTTTATTTTTTCTTAGATTGAACAAACCAATGTTCCGAGCTCTCCAAAATCACCATAAAATTTGTCGGTCTTTTTATTTTTTCTCAGATTGAACAAACCAAGGTTCCGAGCTCTCCAAAATCACTATAAATTTTGTTTGCCTTTATATTTTTCTTAGATTGAACAAAGTAATGTTCCGAGCTCTCCAAACTCACTATAAAGTCACAAAAATTTTATGAAGCGTAAACACATTTTTTAAAACTAGGCCGAAATTTTGCAGCCTTTTGGGCGCGTGCTCACTCTCAAATTATACACAGCGGCGAAGCTGAGCTTCTCACCACTTGCGATACGAAACAAGGAAAGCATCTAAGCCGAAAAGACAAAACCGAAAACGACAAACAAATTACATCTATCCAAAAGTAATAAGGCAAGTTTTGAGACCAAAACATGCCAAGACAACAGAATGTCAGCTTATCATCGGAAGAATATGTACCAACCGGTAACAAAGCAGAAAATACCTTAGTAGAAACCATTTAAGCCAAAAAAATCAAAAGATCAACAAACTAACGACTAAAAAAATAACAAGCCCCAGTCACCCTCAAAACACACAACGTACACAAACCTTTTGTTTGCTCGTCAAATGAAACAATTTGGGGCCACTAAGCCTATATAACATAGGCCGAAAACTATCAGGCAGAAAAAAATTAAAAAGCCGAAAAAAGTTCAAAAAATACGAATAATAAAAACTTCCCTCACCTTCAAAACACACGCACATACAAACTAAATTCGCTCGTCGAAAGACGCAATATAGGGCAATGAAGCCGATTTTATTTAGGCGGAAACCTATCAAAAGGAACAAAAAGGAAAAGAAAAAAAGCGAAAAAAAATTCTTGTCATGACAAACTATAATTTGTGCTAACCAGCGGGGAGCAAAAAAATCATGTTTCCATAGAAATAACTCAAAAATAAGTCATTAAGCCAATAAAACAAGAAGCCAAGAAACCATTTGAGCAGAACAACGTTTTTGAGTGGAAAAACAAAAAAATATACTAAGAGTCAAAGTTAGTATAAAAGCAAATAGCTGAAAAAAGTGAAATCACTAAAAACAACTACAAGGTATCATGCGTACAGTAAAAAGGCGAAAAAAGTATCATGCGTACAGTAAAAAATGCGTATCATGCGTACAATAAAAAAGGTATCATGCGTACATTTTACAATAGGGCAAATAAGCAGAAAAATCATAAGCAGGAAATTTTTTTGAAACGGAATTTTTCCCCTTTTAAAAAAACTCCTGTTAGATTCGAGCCCAAGACCTTTGCAGTCGCAGGCGTATTCGTTCCTTTAGGACCGAGCGTGCTGGAGACGCGAAGAAAATTGTAATTATTATGAGCTGAGCCTAAATTCGTCATTTCTAGTTCGACCATTCTGTGAACACAGTTATTCACGGGAAAAAAATTTAGTACCCGATTGCAATACTCCTGCTTATCGCAAGGTCAATAAATTGACACCACTTGCAGTAAATTTTTAAGGGTAGAAGACAGACAATAAAAGGAGATAAATTGGATGGTAGGAGGGCCGAGAACCTTTGATGTTTGACACTTTTTCATGAAATTAACCCAGTTGCAGAAAACAGGGTGACTAGATAAAAAGTAGTAAGCAAATAGTACACTGTGATTGGGAGGTTGACATCCAAGGAGGACCATTGGCTATAAATCATTATGGTCACCATGTATTAATTGATCAGCAATAGTCACCATGCAATTATCCTAATTTTCACCAAGTATTATTTTATAACTAAGAGTCCTCATGTAGAATGCCGGTATTCCTCATGAACGTTGTGGTAACGAGTTTCGGTGCGGAAAAAGATTTCCTATATGGTTCCTCAAGTCAGGTGCGACAAAACATGAACTGAAGGTCAGTTGTGACCTAAAAAATCGAAATTATCAATAAAAAATTTTCAAAAAAAAATCAGCCATCAAAAAACTTCTTCGCAAACAACTTTTTCACATTCTCTCGGCTTTCCTTTCTTTCAATAAAGCAACATTTATTGAAGAATAAACAAGAATTTCAAGCAAGTCATAGAACTGATGACATGCGCCCCAATGCAAGACTCAGAATCAACCAGGATCGGTTCTTTTTCTATTTATATAGCATATTTAATTGCACTAACTTCGCTTTTGATGCTTCTGATATTGTACACATAGAAGATCATATCAAAGGAAAAACGAGAATTTGGATTAAGTCATAGAACTGATGACATGCGCCCCAATGCAAGACTCAGAATCAACCAGGATCGGTTCTTTTTCTATTTATATAGCATATTTAATTGCACTAACTTCGCTTTTGATGCTTCTGATATTGTACACATAGAAGATCATATCAAAGGAAAAACGAGAATTTGGATCAAGTCATAGAACTGATGACATGCGCCCCAATGCAAGACTCAGAATCAACCAGGATCGGTTCTTTTTCTATTTATATAGCATATTTAATTGCACTAACTTCGCTTTTGATGCTTCTGATATTGTACACATAGAAGATCAAATCAAAGGAAAAACGAGAAGTTGGATCAAGTCATAGAACTGATGACATGCGCCCCAATGCAAGACTCAGAATCAACCAGGATCGGTTCTTTTTCTAATTATATAGCATATTTAATTGCACTAACTTCGCTTTTGAGGCTTCTGATATTGTACACATAGAAGATCAAATCAAAGGAAAAACGAGAATTTGGATCAAGTCATAGAACTGATGACATGCGCCCCAATGCAAGACTCAGAATCAACCAGGATCGGTTCTTTTTCTAATTATATAGCATATTTAATTGCACTAACTTCGCTTTTGAGGCTTCTGATATTGTACACATAGAAGATCATATCAAAGGAAAAACGAGAATTTGGATCAAGTCATAGAACTGATGACATGCGCCCCAATGCAAGATTCAGAATCAACCAGGATCGGTTCTTTTTCTATTTATATAGCATATTTAATTGCACTAACTTCGCTTTTGATGCTTCTGATATTGTACACATAGAAGATCATATCAAAGGAAAAACGAGAATTTGGATCAAGTCAGAGAACTGATGACATGCGCCCCAATGCAAGACTCAGAATCAACCAGGATCGGTTCTTTTTCTATTTATATAGCATATTTAATTGCACTAACTTCGCTTTTGATGCTTCTGATATTGTACACATAGAAGATCAAATCAAAGGAAAAACGAGAATTTGGATCAAGTCATAGAACTGATGACATGCGCCCCAATGCAAGACTCAGAATCAACCAGGATCGGTTCTTTTTCTAATTATATAGCATATTTAATTGCACTAACTTCGCTTTTGAGGCTTCTGATATTGTACACATAGAAGATCATATCAAAGGAAAAACGAGAATTTGGATCAAGTCATAGAACTGATGACATGCGCCCCAATGCAAGATTCAGAATCAACCAGGATCGGTTCTTTTTCTATTTATATAGCATATTTAATTGCACTAACTTCGCTTTTGATGCTTCTGATATTGTACACATAGAAGATCATATCAAAGGAAAAACGAGAATTTGGATCAAGTCATAGAACTGATGACATGCGCCCCAATGCAAGATTCAGAATCAACCAGGATCGGTTCTTTTTCTATTTATATAGCATATTTAATTGCACTAACTTCGCTTTTGATGCTTCTGATATTGTACACATAGAAGATCAAATCAAAGGAAAAACTAGAATTTGGATCAAGTCATAGAACTGATGACATGCGCCCCAATGCAAGACTCAGAATCAACCAGGATCGGTTCTTTTTTTATTTATATAGCATATTTAATTGCACTAACTTCGCTTTTGATGCTTCTGATATTGTACACATAGAAGATCATATCAAAGGAAAAACGAGAATTTGGATCAAGTCATAGAACTGATGACATGCGCCCCAATGCAAGACTCAGAATCAACCAGGATCGGTTCTTTTTCTATTTATATAGCATATTTAATTGCACTAACTTCGCTTTTGATGTTTCTGATATTGTACACATAGAAGATCAAATCAAAGGAAAAACGAGAATTTGGATCAAGTCATAGAACTGATGACATGCGCCCCAATGCAAGACTCAGAATCAACCAGGATCGGTTCTTTTTTTATTTATATAGCATATTTAATTGCACTAACTTCGCTTTTGATGCTTCTGATATTGTACACATAGAAGATCTAACTTCGGTTTTGATGCTTCTGATATTGTACACATATAAGATCAAATCAAAGGAAAAACGAGAATTTGGATCAAGTCATAGAACTGATGACATGCGCCCCAATGCAAGACTCAGAATCAACCAGGATCGTTTTTTTTTTATTTATATAGCATATTTAATTGCACTAACTTCGCTTTTGATGCTTCTGATATTGTACACATAGAAGATCAAATCAAAGGAAAAACGAGAATTTGGATCAAGTCATAGAACTGATGACATGCGCCCCAATGCAAGACTCAGAATCAACCAGGATCGGTTCTTTTTCTATTTATATAGCATATTTAATTGCACTAACTTCGCTTTTGAGGCTTCTGATATTGTACACATAGAAGATCAAATCAAAGAAAAAACGAGAATTTGGATCAAGTCATAGAACTGATGACATGCGCCCCAATGCAAGACTCAGAATCAACCAGGATCGGTTCTTTTTCTATTTATATAGCATATTTAATTGCCCTAACTTCGCTTTTGAGGCTTCTGATATTGTACACATAGAAAATCATATCAAAGGAAAAACGAGAATTTGGATCAAGTCATAGAACTGATGACATGCGCCCCAATGCAAGACTCAGAATTAACCAGGATCGGTTCTTTTTCTATTTATATAGCATATTTAATTGCACTAACTTCGCTTTTGATGCTTCTGATATTGTACACATAGAAGATCAAATCAAAGGAAAAACGAGAATTTGGATCAAGTCATAGAACTGATGACATGCGCCCCAATGCAACACTCAGAATCAACCAGGATCGGTTCTTTTTCTAATTATATAGCATTTTTAATTGCACTAACTTCGCTTTTGAGGCTTCTGATATTGTACACATAGAAGATCATATCAAAGGAAAAACGAGAATTTGGATCAAGTCATAGAACTGATGACATGCGCCCCAATGCAAGACTCAGAATCAACCAGGATCGGTTCTTTTTCTATTTATATAGCATATTTAATTGCACTAACTTCGCTTTTGATGCTTCTGATATTGTACACATAGAAGATCATATCAAAGGAAAAACGAGAATTTGGATCAAGTCATAGAACTGATGACATGCGCCCCAATGCAAGATTCAGAATCAACCAGGATCGGTTCTTTTTCTATTTATATAGCATATTTAATTGCACTAACTTCGCTTTTGATGCTTCTGATATTGTACACATAGAAGATCATATCAAAGTTCTACAGTGCTTCATTCGCCGTAATTTCATCAATTTTACCAAATCAAATACAAAAAAGAATTTACAAAAAATAACTAGGCTTCAATCTATTAATAACAATTCACTCGACAACATACCTTTCCAGATACAAGTCCATGTGTGGCCCTAATGCCTCCCCACAAATTCTGGAACCCTTTCGATCCCAAATCATAAGCTGACAATCCGTTATTCGACACTGTCACGTACAAGTCACAGTTGAACGGGTCCAGGTACACGCCAGTATTGAGTGCCTGGATTTCTTGGTTCTGATTGGCCTGGTTGTGATTCTTGGTGGTGGTCAATGACAATCTACTGTGGACGTTCGATTTACCTCTGAAATAAATTGAGTAAACTTCATAATGTCAGAATAAAACAGCCTACAACAGACAGGATTATCCAATCACAAGATTATCCTGCAGTTAGTACAGGATGATCCAATCATAGTGATCATTGAATGAAAAACGATGAAAAAGTTCAAATATCTTTAATGAACACCACTTCTCAAATAGTTGCTTTGGTAAATCACAGAGATGAGCTTCACACCACTTTCGATACATTAAACACAGCATGGCAATCTAGCCGACAGAAAAAAGTACTACAAAAACTTTCTATTCTATGTTTGATGTATCGCAAGTGATGCGAAGCTCCACTTCGCATGTGATCTACTAAGGCAACTAATTTACGAGAGGACAGGAGCTTGTTTTAACAGTTGAAACAGTGAAAATACTTAAAATGGTGCAGCTTGCAATTCTTATTACCCAAACGTAGCTTAGAAACACCATACGGCGTCATCAGGGAGGCTTTACAAGAAAGCTATTTCATTTTTGCTATTTTGACAGAACACGTTAATTACAGTATTTATGTTTAGTCCAAAATTATACATTTGTTATCATTTTAAATTTTAATCGGTTTACAAGGATTAAATTAGAAATAGTCGTGAATCGATTCCTGGGGCAAACGACAAATAAATCATAATTTGAAGCATAATTTTCAGAAAAACGTACCCTTGGCTGAAATCAGAAACACCTGTCGACATTCCTGTCACACTTCCAGAGTTACACCCAGAGTCACTAGAACTATCTCGGCCAAACCTCTGACCAAATCCCGACGTAGAACAACTGCTCACGCTTCCCATCGAATCTCTTCTATAGGAACTACTATTTGTGCTTCTATCATAAGCATCATCGTTATTTCGACGCATTCCCGAATCTTCGGTATTTTTGAACCTGTCCAAATCGAAAAATGAATCGCCACTGCTTTGATATTGATGATGCTGGTATCGATTTTGGATTTTGTCGAACAATTTCTGGAAGTTTTCTGAAGCTGCGCGATTATTTTGATTTTGGCTGGCAATATCAACATCATTTCGCGCATGAAATGTAGTTGAATTATTTCCACTCCAACTTTGAGAATCGCGCTGATTTACACTTGAATTTCTTACACCTGTAGTTATATTTTGGGAATCATTGTTATTTCCACTTGATTTGGAAAAACTACCCAAATTCGACTGAAACGGAGGTTTTGTAGGTACTACCACTTGTGGGGCTTCTGGTTTACCGATTCCATGCTTAACCTGGTTATGATTGTAATTATAATTATAACTTCCACTATCGGCATGGTTATAATTATCTGAATGTGCATTGAAATATCTATCAGATGAGTTTCCTGAGTTTGAAGGCTGCGTTAAACTATTATCTGAAGGCAGTGCAAAAAATCCGCCACTCGGAGATTGGTTCAAATTTCTTCCAGCGGGCTCCGTGAAGCTATTTAAATCTGTTCTTCCGTAATTTTCAATCTCTGGTTGCCTCATTTTTGCCGAATCGAGAAAAGGTCCAGAAGAAGAGTTAGCAAATGAGTTTCCGGGAGATGGAAGCAGATTTCTCTCACTTTGATATACGTCTTCGCTGAAACTCGAAGACTGAAATGAGCTTTCAGGTGTTTCCTTTCGGTTCGCGAAAGGGGGTGCAGAAAAGCGCTGCGGAATCATTGTGGTACCTGAAAACTTAGGGATCTCTTTTTGTTTCTTTTTTGGATACTCATCATACCCAAATACTTCCACAGCTCAGGGGCGAGTCTTAGAGACGAAAGAGTTTCAAAAATTTTGTCCGTCTTTTTATTTTTTCTTAGATTGAACAAACCAATGTTCCGAGCTCTCCAAAATCACCATAAAATTTGTCGGTCTTTTTATTTTTTCTCAGATTGAACAAACCAAGGTTCCGAGCTCTCCAAAATCACTATAAATTTTGTTTGCCTTTATATTTTTCTTAGATTGAACAAAGTAATGTTCCGAGCTCTCCAAACTCACTATAAAGTCACAAAAATTTTATGAAGCGTAAACACATTTTTTAAAACTAGGCCGAAATTTTGCAGCCTTTTGGGCGCGTGCTCACTCTCAAATTATACACAGCGGCGAAGCTGAGCTTCTCACCACTTGCGATACGAAACAAGGAAAGCATCTAAGCCGAAAAGACAAAACCGAAAACGACAAACAAATTACATCTATCCAAAAGTAATAAGGCAAGTTTTGAGACCAAAACATGCCAAGACAACAGAATGTCAGCTTATCATCGGAAGAATATGTACCAACCGGTAACAAAGCAGAAAATACCTTAGTAGAAACCATTTAAGCCAAAAAAATCAAAAGATCAACAAACTAACGACTAAAAAAATAACAAGCCCCAGTCACCCTCAAAACACACAACGTACACAAACCTTTTGTTTGCTCGTCAAATGAAACAATTTGGGGCCACTAAGCCTATATAACATAGGCCGAAAACTATCAGGCAGAAAAAAATTAAAAAGCCGAAAAAAGTTCAAAAAATACGAATAATAAAAACTTCCCTCACCTTCAAAACACACGCACATACAAACTAAATTCGCTCGTCGAAAGACGCAATATAGGGCAATGAAGCCGATTTTATTTAGGCGGAAACCTATCAAAAGGAACAAAAAGGAAAAGAAAAAAAGCGAAAAAAAATTCTTGTCATGACAAACTATAATTTGTGCTAACCAGCGGGGAGCAAAAAAATCATGTTTCCATAGAAATAACTCAAAAATAAGTCATTAAGCCAATAAAACAAGAAGCCAAGAAACCATTTGAGCAGAACAACGTTTTTGAGTGGAAAAACAAAAAAATATACTAAGAGTCAAAGTTAGTATAAAAGCAAATAGCTGAAAAAAGTGAAATCACTAAAAACAACTACAAGGTATCATGCGTACAGTAAAAAGGTGAAAAAAGTATCATGCGTACAGTAAAAAATGCGTATCATGCGTACAATAAAAAAGGTATCATGCGTACATTTTACAATAGGGCAAATAAGCAGAAAAATCATAAGCAGGAAATTTTTTTGAAACGGAATTTTTCCCCTTTTAAAAAAACTCCTGTTAGATTCGAGCCCAAGACCTTTGCAGTCGCAGGCGTATTCGTTCCTTTAGGACCGAGCGTGCTGGAGACGCGAAGAAAATTGTAATTATTATGAGCTGAGCCTAAATTCGTCATTTCTAGTTCGACCATTCTGTGAACACAGTTATTCACGGGAAAAAAATTTAGTACCCGATTGCAATACTCCTGCTTATCGCAAGGTCAATAAATTGACACCACTTGCAGTAAATTTTTAAGGGTAGAAGACAGACAATAAAAGGAGATAAATTGGATGGTAGGAGGGCCGAGAACCTTTGATGTTTGACACTTTTTCATGAAATTAACCCAGTTGCAGAAAACAGGGTGACTAGATAAATAGTAGTAAGCAAATAGTACACTGTGATTGGGAGGTTGACATCCAAGGAGGACCATTGGCTATAAATCATTATGGTCACCATGTATTAATTGATCAGCAATAGTCACCATGCAATTATCCTAATTTTCACCAAGTATTATTTTATAACTAAGAGTCCTCATGTAGAATGCCGGTATTCCTCATGAACGTTGTGGTAACGAGTTTCGGTGCGGAAAAAGATTTCCTATATGGTTCCTCAAGTCAGGTGCGACAAAACATGAACTGAAGGTCAGTTGTGACCTAAAAAATCGAAATTATCAATAAAAAATTTTCAAAAAAAAATCAGCCATCAAAAAACTTTTTCACAAACAAATTTTTCACATTCTCTCGGCTTTCCTTTCTTTCAATACAGCAACATTTATTGAAGAATAAACAAGAATTTCAAGCAAGTCATAGAACTGATGACATGCGCCCCAATGCAAGACTCAGAATCAACCAGGATCGGTTCTTTTTCTATTTATATAGCATATTTAATTGCACTAACTTCGATTTTGATGCTTCTGATATTGTACACATAGAAGATCATATCAAAGGAAAAACGAGAATTTGGATCAAGTCATAGAACTGATGACATGCGCCCCAATGCAAGACTCAGAATCAACCAGGATCGGTTCTTTTTCTATTTATATAGCATATTTAATTGCACTAACTTCGCTTTTGATGCTTCTGATATTGTACACATAGAAGATCATATCAAAGGAAAAACGAGAATTTGGATCAAGTCATAGAACTGATGACATGCGCCCCAATGCAAGACTCAGAATCAACCAGGATCGGTTCTTTTTCTATTTATATAGCATATTTAATTGCACTAACTTCGCTTTTGATGCTTCTGATATTGTACACATAGAAGATCAAATCAAAGGAAAAACGAGAATTTGGATCAAGTCATAGAACTGATGACATGCGCCCCAATGCAAGACTCAGAATCAACCAGGATCGGTTCTTTTTCTAATTATATAGCATATTTAATTGCACTAACTTCGCTTTTGAGGCTTCTGATATTGTACACATAGAAGATCATATCAAAGGAAAAACGAGAATTTGGATCAAGTCATAGAACTCATGACATGCGCCCCAATGCAAGACTCAGAATCAACCAGGATCGGTTCTTTTTCTATTTATATAGCATATTTAATTGCACTAACTTCGCTTTTGATGCTTCTGATATTGTACACATAGAAGATCATATCAAAGGAAAAACGAGAATTTGGATCAAGTCATAGAACTGATGACATGCGCCCCAATGCAAGATTCAGAATCAACCAGGATCGGTTCTTTTTCTATTTATATAGCATATTTAATTGCACTAACTTCGCTTTTGATGCTTCTGATATTGTACACATAGAAGATCAAATCAAAGGAAAAACTAGAATTTGGATCAAGTCATAGAACTGATGACATGCGCCCCAATGCAAGACTCAGAATCAAACAGGATCGGTTCTTTTTTTATTTATATAGCATATTGAATTGCACTAACTTCGCTTTTGATGCTTCTGATATTGTACACATAGAAGATCATATCAAAGGAAAAACGAGAATTTGGATCAAGTCATAGAACTGATGACATGCGCCCCAATGCAAGACTCAGAATCAACCAGGATCGGTTCTTTTTCTATTTATATAGCATATTTAATTGCACTAACTTCGCTTTTGATGTTTCTGATATTGTACACACAGAAGATCAAATCAAAGGAAAAACGAGAATTTGGATCAAGTCATAGAACTGATGACATGCGCCCCAATGCAAGACTCAGAATCAACCAGGATCGGTTCTTTTTTTTATTTATATAGCATATTTAATTGCACTAACTTCGCTTTTGATGCTTCTGATATTGTACACATAGAAGATCTAACTTCGGTTTTGATGCTTCTGATATTGTACACATATAAGATCAAATCAAAGGAAAAACGAGAATTTGGATCAAATCATAGAACTGATGACATGAGCCCCAATGCAAGACTCAGAATCAACCAGGATCGGTTCTTTTTCTATTTATATAGCATATTTAATTGCACTAACTTCGCTTTTGAGGCTTCTGATATTGTACACATAGAAGATCAAATCAAAGGAAAAACGAGAATTTGGATCAAATCATAGAACTGATGACATGCGCCCCAATGCAAGACTCAGAATCAACCAGGATCGGTTCTTTTTCTATTTATATAGCATATTTAATTGCACTAACTTCGCTTTTGAGGCTTCTGATATTGTACACATAGAAGATCAAATCAAAGGAAAAACGAGAATTTGGATCAAGTCATAGAACTGATGACATGCGCCCCAATGCAAGACTCAGAATCAACCAGGATCGGTTCTTTTTCTATTTATATAGCATATTTAATTGCCCTAACTTCGCTTTTGAGGCTTCTGATATTGTACACATAGAAAATCATATCAAAGGAAAAACGAGAATTTGGATCAAGTCATAGAACTGATGACATGCGCCCCAATGCAAGACTCAGAATTAACCAGGATCGGTTCTTTTTCTATTTATATAGCATATTTAATTGCACTAACTTCGCTTTTGATGCTTCTGATATTGTACACATAGAAGATCAAATCAAAGGAAAAACGAGAATTTGGATCAAGTCATAGAACTGATGACATGCGCCCCAATGCAACAATCAGAATCAACCAGGATCGGTTCTTTTTCTAATTATATAGCATTTTTAATTGCACTAACTTCGCTTTTGAGGCTTCTGATATTGTACACATAGAAGATCATATCAAAGGAAAAACGAGAATTTGGATCAAGTCATAGAACTGATGACATGCGCCCCAATGCAAGACTCAGAATCAACCAGGATCGGTTCTTTTTCTACTTATATAGCATATTTAATTGCACTAACTTCGCTTTTGATGCTTCTGATATTGTACACATAGAAGATCATATCAAAGGAAAAACGAGAATTTGGATCAAGTCATAGAACTGATGACATGCGCCCCAATGCAAGATTCAGAATCAACCAGGATCGGTTCTTTTTCTATTTATATAGCATATTTAATTGCACTAACTTCGCTTTTGATGCTTCTGATATTGTACACATAGAAGATCAAATCAAAGGAAAAACGAGAATTTGGATCAAGTCATAGAACTGATGACATGCGCCCCAATGCAAGACTCAGAATCAACCAGGATCGGTCCTTTTTTTATTTATATAGCATATTTAATTGCACTAACTTCGCTTTTGATGCTTCTGATATTGTACAC